TATGTTTAACGCTAGGTGAATGTGAATTGGTTTTATTCTATATGCTTAACGCTACGTGAAAGTAAATTGGGTTTATTCTATATGCTTAACGCTAGGTGAAAGTAAATTGGGGTTTTTCTATGTGCTCTACGCTAGGTGAAAGTAAATTGGTTTTTTTTCTATGTGCTTAACGCTAGGTGAAAGTAAATCGGTTGTATTCTATATGCTTAACGCTAGGTGAAAATCAATTGGTTTTATTCTATATGCTTATCGCTAGGTGAAAGTGAATTCGTTTTATTTATTCTATATGCGTAACGCTAGGTGAAAGTGAATTGGTTTTATTCTATATGCTCAACGCTAGGTGAAAGTAAATTGACTTTCTTCTCATGAGGTGAAGAATATCTGATATCCCCAACTATACGGTTACGATTATTAGGTGAAATTAAATTGACTTTCTTCTCATGAGGTGAATAATATCTGATATCCCCAACTATACGGTTACGATTATTGAATTTTGATGGGCGTTCGTTTGTTTTTTCTTCTCCGAGCAGACTAGCCCATGATGCGCTGATGATGAACTGCCACTACGACACCAATATCGATGCAGGTATATCTCGTTGGGTGTTGGGTGTCTGTTGAGTTGTGTCTGTGAATCTGAAATCAGAACTATTCACCAAATCTCACCTGATGTATTCGTATATAAATTGGGAACCTCATTACATTTTCCCAATCCACCCTCATGAAAATTGGGGGTGTCATGTTGGAGTGACCCGTGTCATTGCCTTGGATCTTATACGCCTGCTCAAACAAATACCTGAGATGGTGCCATTGCACCTATAGGGTTTATAAATCCGTGTGATATTCCGTATAAACTCATATCGATATCTATTGATCGATTTTTCTCGCTCCCATAACCATCTGACCCACATGCACAGTGGGGGCGAGTGATGACGGGGTGAGCTGTGCCATAGCCTTTGATCTGATCCGCCTGCTTGCGCACTCGCCGGAGATGGTGCTCCTGTACGATGTGGTGTTTGTGTTCAATGGTGCGGAAGAAGCCTTTATGGAAGGGGCGCATGGGTTTATCACACAGCACAGATGGGCGAAGGATATACGAACGTTCGTTAATCTGGAAGCGGCCGGGAGTGGGGGGAGGTGTGTGCATGTAAATACACTGTGTGTGAGTATACATGAGTGTATATAGTGTGGGGGGGGTATGTATGAGTGTATATAAGGGTGCATGGGTGCTGTTTTATCGTACGCTGTGGTGTTATTGTGTTCGATGGTACATAAAGGTTATATATGGAGAGTGAGCATACATTTTACACATCGCAAGGGCAGTCGGGAATAGGTAGGAAGTATATGTATGTACATATACATTTTGTGTGCAAATATGAGTGTATATACACGTATGAGAACGTGTGCAAATTCATTGTATATGCATAAATGAGTGTATCCAAGTATGGAAGCGTGAGTTTTTATTAAAGGTGGGCTGTTACAAATAAATGGTGCAGTAGAGAGTTTCAATACTTCTCTTCCATCGTATCTCAGAAAGTGTTTGTGTACCAAAGCAACTCCTCCAATGGAATAGTCAGTCAATATATAGTTCTCCTTACTTTGTTTTTGCACATATATCCCAACCTATTCCGAAAAAAATTCGTTCCAAAAGCGTCTCGTACCGAAATTTCAAATCAAGATTTCGTTTCAACTAATGCTGTTCCCACGCATACACACTCCTAATTCCCAACCTATCTCAGAGAAGTGGTGTTCCAGACAGGCCCTGGGGATGAGATCGCAAGCCTATATGCATCGCTTGTACCACACCCCCACGGAAACGTGCTGCTGCAAGAGTTGTTTGAGACAGGCGTTATTCCTGGGGATACCGACTTCCGGGTGTACAGGTATCTTCTTAAGCAACGCTTTGAACTCCCAATGTGTCTAACCATACCTCATAAACGTATACTCCCACTGTCTGTGGGGATACGCTACATCTCGACATAGAGGATCGTATGCCTGTGTGATAGTACGCTACATTTCGACATATAGCATCATATGCCTGTGTAATAATGTGGACCCGTGTGATAATGTGGACCCGTGTGATAATGTGGACCCGTGTGAATTGATGTTACGTCCTTTACAACTCAAACGCTAAACGCTATCTCTTGTCACTCGTGACGTGTCGTGTATCACGTGGCAAACCACTCCTACTCAATTGGTGCAGAGACTTTGGCGGAATCCCAGGCGTGGATCTGGCCTTCATAGCCAATGGCTATGTATACCACACCAAACTAGACACGGTCGACCGCATACCCTTGGGAGCTGTGCAACGTGCGGGTGAGAACATCCTTGCGATGTTGACAGGCTTCCAGAGTATGCTACAGGTTGGTATATGTGTTATAGATAGACTAGTTGTAGGTATTTGTGCTGTGGTACCTGGACTGGTGGTATGTACATGATGAATGATACCCGCACAGAACGCTGGATCATTTATATCCAACATGTCAATACAATCTAAAGTATAGTCAAGAACATGCTTTTCCCCGTGCGTGTACACACGCACATACAGAGAGAAATAAGCACATACACTGAACGAGACACTTTTTTTTAACGTACGTACACATTAAGCGTACACATCAAGAATCTCTTTTTTTTTGCACATGCATACACTCACTGAGTGGGCGGGCACATGCGCCTTCGCATATACACGCCATAGAAACGAATTTCCACCCACGCGCACACACACACCTATCGGCAGCAGCTGGTAGTCGCCTTCAAGCCATTAACTACCATGCCTGTATTCTTGGACACCCTGGGTCTGTGCATGGTGACATGCGGTCACGGTACAAAGGTCCTACACTACCCCACCCATACACCAGCACACCTACCATCAAATTCTCATACGCACGTGCGTATGTACACGTTCCCACCCAGATGGAAGATGCCTTCAAGCCGTCCACTACCAAGCCTGTGTTCTTCGATGTTCTGGGTCTGTGCATGGTAACGTACGGTCACAGCACCAAACACATTCTGCACACAAGCATGCTGCTACTACTGGGTGCACTTCTTGCACACCGCAATTCTCGAGACCCCGAAGGCATGTTCCGAGCCTCTCGCGCCCACTCCGTGTCTATAGTTGGCGGGATATTGTGTTCTATGCTTGTGGGTTGTGCCATGCTTGCTATCAGGTATGTGTTTATATATATATATATATATATATATATACAGTGTGTGTGTGTGTGTTTGTTGGTGAGCTCTGGTGTTCTATTCTTGTGTCGTGGTCTGTGGTATATATAGTATATATATATATATAGTATGTGTGTGTGTGTGTGTGTGTGTGT